CAGGAAAGGAGACACGACTGCTCTTTCAAAAAATTAATGCTTTAATATATTGACAGCCCCTATTTTTGACTTAGAAGTGTACAAATCAAAATTTTAAGTGTAGCCAAAGAAAAATAAAGTAGCTGTGTTATCCATGGTAATTGCTAGACATTATTCCCAGTACTGCTGCAGAAGGTAGCTGTAGGATATGGTACAGTGGTTACTACGAAGGTCTCGTAAGGGTGGAGATAACAGGCACTGAGCCTGCAGATTAAAAAATCATTTAATAACAATAAAAAGAGGTTGTCTGGCTCATCTTGGTTATATTTAAGGTGTCTTTTATATATATTGGATTTATACTCATTGAAAAGTCTTCATTTCTTTTATGTGACTGAATAATTAAGACTGATGGTGTTAGCCTGGGCCCAAAGACTTAAAAGGTAGAGAAGGACATTGTTAAATATCTGTGATGCGCTTACAGTATTGAACCAGCATAACTTGATTTGTCACTGAAGTCTCTGAAAGTGCTGGATATGACATAGATTGCCATCTTAAGGTGTTCACAGGGGCTGTTCAATATTGAAAGTGAACACAGGTTTGCTTTACTGTCTGTCATTCTTCGGGCTGTCTGAGAGCATAACAAATCCTGGAACAGCTTTGGCGGTTATGAAGTAGGAAACATGCCAGTAGAATAAACCAAATTAACAAATTTTGTGAGAAATCCTGAAATTTCAACTAAACAGCATGATGCAGAATCGTAAACACGAGTGGCTGGTATTATCATATGCTGTTTAGAAAAGCACAAATAGTCAATAAATCACGCAGTTGATTATTGTACTCATTCATCTGTGGGTTGCTGGGGCATAAGCAATGTAATTCAATCTTGAAAGTTTGTTATTGTTTAGACCACATTGTAAAATCTATTGATTATCCATGTGCAGCGTGATTTATTCTTTCATCTAATATTTGTGCTCTTGGTAATAGGATACTGCAGCCATGGATTGTAACAGACATTTTGGATCACATACTTTATGGTTTTCATCTAGGAAAAAGTAATAATAAAAAATTGAGAGGGGTCATAAAAGCCTTATTCATGTCATTCTAAAGAGATCATTATAACATCATTATTTGGCTAACATTACCTATGTTAGCAAATTTCATGTGAAGCATTAGATAAAATTTGTGTAAAAGACTGAATCTTACAAAAATAGCCACTTTCCTAGGAGACTTCAATTTTCTTCACGCTTTATTATTTTAAACGAAGAATCGATTTGACTTAAATTGACAAATTCTGGCTGCTCCAAACTTTTGTATGAAGGGTTCTTGAATTCTAGGTATCTAGAATTTAGTTCAGTCGTCTAGGCACAGCCAGCTAGAACCATTTTAAATGCAAAACATCCACACAGAGCCTGCAGTTGTGACACAGGAGCCGCAGGATACCTTCTTCTGCCCTTCTGAACTGGCAGATAAATGGCATCTAACACTGGAAATGGTACTAAACCCTCTTAGGCAACTAAATAAAGTCTCCACAGTAGAATTTTACTTTCTTTGCATTCCTTGTTCTCTCCAATAAAAATGAGACGTAATGTAAAGTAGGATATTTAGACCTGTAATTTAGCTGTCCTTGTATATGTGCCTTCCTGCGAGCGAGGTGTCCAAACTGCCTTTATAGCTGGCAGAGATCTCATCCTCGGCTCAGTCGCCTTAAACTGGGCATCTTGATTAATCTAATATGCCCTGTCTGGTGTGTTGTGTGTCATCTGCTGCTCCAGGACATGGCTCTCCCATACACATGCACTCCTACGAACACGGGGTGCAGGGGAGATGTCTCAGGTACCATCTGGGCTGAGGTGCTGAGGTTGAGAAAAGTAATGGAGCTGGTGGTGATGCGGGCAGCTACAGAGCTGGCAGTTCTGCGTGTCAGCTCCTGGGATAAACTGAAAAAGTTTTGCTGTATTGAATAGGTCTCCGCTGGTGGGAGCCTGGTTCCATGTAGAGTCGTGGCTTCAGGAGTCTGAATTTTGAAACAAATCAAACCCTTTCCTGAACCACTGTGATATTTGGCACCTATGAACGCTTATAGTGAAGTTCACTTTGTGCCACAGTAGTGAAAAAAGCGACAAACCAACAAATGGGATACATTGTCCTGTTCTTTACTGTGGAGTGCAAAAAAAAGAGAGAGAACAAAATCAGTCTTAAGATTGGTGTGAAATATGAAGCTAAGAGTTAAAAGATACCAGAGGAAATTACTCTGATTTATGAGGATCTATCTCATTTTTAGTGGAGAAAACAAAGAGTGAATAGAACATATAAGCAGATTTGTTTAATGTGTCTTGTCTGGGATCTTTTCACAAGGCATGCAATTTCAAATCCACTGAAGTCAGTGATAATAATTTCACTGACCTGAACAAGCTTTTTGTCAGAATATAAGACATTTATTCTTATGCGTAGATATATATTAAAGATATGATAGGCAGTCTTGCTTATTGTATTAAAATTATTCTGAGTGTTTTACTATTCCTTTCAGTCAGTGACTTAATGTCAGACTTCAGATTGCTTCTTTAATTGCCTGACATAGTTTGACACTGCTTCTGCCTATTTTTAACATTACTGTTTGGACAGTATTAACTATACTTCATTCTTTTCCTCACTTTATTTCTATAAAGTCCCAATAAAAAAAATAAATGTGAAAAAATCACAGAATCATAAAATCATAGAATGGTTAGAGTTAGAAGGGACCTTAAAGATCATCGAGTTCCAACCCCCTGCCATGGGCCGGGAAACCTTCCCCTAGCCCAGGTTGCTCAAAGCCCCATCCAGCCTGGCCTTGAACGCTTCCAGGGATGGGGCATCCACAACTTTCCTGGGCAACCTGTTCCAGTGTCTCACCACCCTCACAGTAAAGAATTTCTTTCTAGTATCTAATCTAATTCCCCCTCTTGGTTTAAAACCATTACCCTTTCTCCTATCGCTACGCTCCCTGATAAAGAGTCCCTCCCCATCTCTCCTGTAGGCCCCCTTCAGGTACCGGAAGGCTGTTATAAGGTCTCCCTGGAGCCTTCTCTTCTCCAGGCTGAACAAGCCTAGCTCTCTCAGCGTGTCTTCACAGGAGAGGTGCTGTAGCCCCTCTGATCATTTTTGTGGTCCTCCACTGGACCCATTCCAACAGGTCCATGTCCTTCCTGTGTTAAGGACTCCAGAGGTGGACACAGTACTCCAGGTGGGGTCTCACCAGAGCAGAGCAGAGGGGCAGAATCACTTCCCTGGACCTGCTGGCTGTGGTTCTTTTGATGCATGTTGGATACAGTTGGCTTTCTGGGCTGCCAGTGTGCACTGCCGGCTCATGTCGAGATTCTCATCCATGACCACTTCCAAGTCCTTCTCCTCAGGGCTGCTCTCCAGCCATTCTCCACCCAGCCTGTATTTTTGCCTGTGATTGCCGTGTCCCAAGTGCGGGACCTTGCACTTGGTTTGGTTGAATTTCATGAGGTTTGCACAGGCCCACCTCTCAAGCCTGTCCAGGTCCCTCTGGATGGCATCCCTTCCCTCCAGTGTGTCGACCACACCACACAGCTTGGTGTCATTGGCAAACTTGCTGACGATGCACTCTATCCCACTGTCCGTGTCACCGACAAAGCTGTTAAACAGCACTGGTCCACATACAGACTCCTGGGGAACACCATTTGTCACTGGCCACTTGGACGTTGAACCATTGACTGCAACCCTTTGAGTGCGGCCAGCCAGCCAGTTCCTTATCCACTGAGTTGTCCATCCATCAAATCTATGCCTTTCCAATTTAGAGACCAGGATGTCATGTGGGACAGTGTCAAATGCTTTGCATATGTCCAGGTAGATGGCATCTGTTGCTCTGGCTATGTCTACCAACGCTGTGGCAATATCATAAAAGGCCACCAAATTTGTCAAGCGTGATTTACCCTTGGTGAAACTATGTTGGCTGTAAATACATAGCACGAATATTTGAAAAGCTTGAATGAATAAAAGAAAGTTACTGAGTCACAGCCATTCAGTGGCTAATACTTGTAATGTGTTTCTAAGTATTTTTTTTCTCAACTCTGAGGTAAGTTTCCTTTTGATGTAGGTATCTCTCCTTTGCCTGCCCTGTAGTGCAAGCTTCTTAGGCAGATCAAGGAAATACCTCAATGCAAACACTCTTTCTGTTTTGAAAACCAGCATTTTTCCTTACCTGCAAATCATAGATGAAGTCAGGAGAGAACATTTCTGCAGTATACTTTAAATTTTATTAAAAACTACTCAGTGTGTTTAAGGATTGCCACCTAACACATGAAATTAAATATAAGTTTAATCATTCAGGCTTCACTGGTTATGCAGATCTTGAGGCTTAGAGAGGGTGTATCCATCACCGTGCCCGATGAGAGCAATTCTGCACGTTCCATCACTTCCCTTGACCGTAGCGATAGCCAGACCAAGCAGCATTGTTTAAGAGCACGTCCTCATGTGTGTTTGGTACAGCTCCTTCCTTTGGAAGACAAGAAGACAAAACTGTTTGATCTTTTAAGAGTTAAGTTTTAGTGGAATGGAAGAGTTGTTTCAATTATTTAATGTTCCTTTTGCCCATCCATTTAGGATGGTAATAGGAATGGCTTGAAGTGGAGTGACTGAGAGCATTTAGCTTCCTATTGCACATTGCAGAATGAGTCGTGAGATGAGAGGGCTAATGTATTTATATAGGTAGACAGATACGTTAGGGCTTTGTTGTATTTTGTAACTTAACAACTCAGCTTAGAATTAATTTCCTTTTATATATATGTTTATTTTTTTTTAGACTGGGTTTCATACATCCTGCCAGGAAAACATGGATTATTAATTGTGTTGTAACATGACTTGTAAGGTGTTTGCCTATGTACAAAATGCAGTTGTGACTGTGGAGAAGTTTGTCTCTTCAGAAGTTCTAATGCAAAAATGCATTCTGGATAAATGTAAGATGTCCTTATGTAATTGTTTTTAAAACTTAAAAATAATGAACTTGTTTTTTATTACAGAAACCTTTGAAACGCTTATCAGACTGGCTGAGAATTACACGAGCACACTTTTCTGCAATGCGTATAGAAACATGGCTGCTGAGGCTACGGCACACGTCCAGGAGTTTTTCACAGATGTTGGACTCTTCATATTTGGCGCAGACGTTAGCACAGAGGAATTTGTCAACAGATTTTTTGACACCCTGTTCCCAGTAGTCTACAACCACGTAATTAACCCTGGCCTGACCGACATTTCACTGGAGTACGCGGAGTGCCTCCGAACGGCGCGAAGAGACATCAAGCCCTTTGGTAACGTTCCCAAAAAGGCCATAGGACAGATGGCAAGATCCCTGTTACCCAGCCGGACTTTCTTGCAGGCTCTGAATTTGGGGATTGAAGTGATCAACACAACGGATCACCTGCATTTCTCTAAAGACTGCAGCCGAGCTTTGCTGAGAATGCAGTACTGCCCCCATTGCCAAGGGCTGACTTTAAGCAAGCCCTGCATGGGCTACTGTCTCAACGTCATCCGAGGCTGCTTAGCTAACATGGCAGAAGTTGATCTTCACTGGCGGGGATACGTTCAGTCCATGGAGGAGCTCTCGAGCGCCATGAGTGGGACCAACGACATCGAGCACGTGCTTCTAAACTTTCACGCCCTTGTTAATGAGGCTCTCCTACAGGCTCGTATCAATGGACCACAATTATCTCAGCAGGTAAGAAGCTGTTTTTATCCCCCATGCTCGGTGAAAACATGACACTAAGAAAAGTAACACTGGGAGTTATACAACTTGTTTGGCCATTTTTATGGTGATAAACACATTTGTATCCAAGTGCAGCTTTATTCGACAGTGCATTTTTCCAGCACTGCCAGTTTTTATTTTAATCATGCACATGACCTGCTTATTTCCCATATTCTATTCACAAGTTTAACATCAAGCGGAGATTTAACATTTTGGCAGCATTTACAGCAAAGACTTTTCAAAGTGAAAAGAATTATTGTGTGGAATTTATCTGTTCCCATTTCTCATGAAAACACAGGTTTTTTCAAATTGTGCTGAGTGAAAATTTTTATTGCACAATCCAATGGAATCTTCTAGTCCTTCACCCTTTTTATTTAGAAGGTAACATTTTCAGTAGGTGCACTGAATAGGTCAAGGTTTAGCTTTACAACCGCACCTGTTAAGTTCTGCTGAATAACGGTGAACAATGGAATATGTCGTTAAGTTTGGAAGCTTAAAATATAATGAGAGGAAAGTAAATTGTCTGGTGAAAACTAATGTCACAAATATTCTATAAAAACAGAATTAAATAATAATCTGACACTTGCGTAAATGATAGTGTTAAACTTCAGCAATAGTAGTTGTTTGCAGTGTGGAAACTTGTTATACAACATACAGGCAGTAAGTTTTAGGAGCACAAAAATATTTCTCAAGAACAGACATAAATTGTTTAATTGATTCATTCTTATCTGATATGCACATAAAGATAAATTTAAACAATCCTTTTAGACACCAGTGGTCTGTCTTAAATAACCTATGACTTTGTGTGTATTATTTGCATGATTTCATAGGTTTCAGAGAAAGTAGCATAGTTCATTTGTAACATGAACTAAATCCTTCCTTACATATACTTAACAGAAAAAGCAAGTTATATGAGAGGTCTGTTAGCTGTGAATGTGTGAAGAATTTTAAGATACCATTAAGGAAAATACACATTATTTAGCCACACGTTAGAAAGAAAGTTAGTATATCTGTGAATTTATGAAGGTGATATAAGTAGCAAAATTTTAATTCTTCCTCTGTTACATTTAATCCGTGATACATTTTGTAATTATATTTTTCTCTGTGTTCTTACATGTAGACTTCACTGACTGACATATTCTGGTTTAAAGCTGGGTCAAATATCTTGATCTGGGGAGATGCCTTTGGTTTTACCCTCAGTCTATTAAAATGGGTTCTTCATCTTGCTTGTAGTCAGTGAGTACCAGGGAAATTGTCCATTTCTATGAATTTCCCTTTTTATCTGCTTTATACCAGTCAGCTACATTAGCCAGAATCTCCTGCTGCTGAACTACCTTGAAAAAAACTGTGATTTTTTTTCTTTTTAAAAGCTTTTTCAGTAACAGTTTGGCTCAAAGGTGGCTCACTAATGTCTAATTCCTAGTATGTTTCAAAGCTACAGTTACCTTTTGGGGATAGTCCCTGTTCTTCGTCAGATTTTGGGTGATCTTTTTTGCCTACAATTTTCAGGAAGACGCTACAATAATAAAGCAAAGGCTCAAGGGAAGGCCTTCTGTTTCCTGTTTTATCCTGGGTCATTTAGTTTGAAAAGTTTTAGACTTGGATTTTCAACAGTGGACTGGCATTGGCACAGTCTTAAAAGTCTCTCAGCACGCTCATGTTTTCAAAATGAAAGTTTTTACTCTCCAAAATAGTATATTTTACTCAGCTTTAGTAAAAAATCAAAGGGGTGAAGAGCTCTCCACCCAGTCTTTTGGCATAATGAAAATTTCGGATTGATCCAAAATAAAATGCTGTATTTTATTATTCCTGTAAACTCTATGGTTTCATCTCTTCCCTCATATGATGTAAGGAATGCTAAAATTTCTTCTGTAATAATATTTTGAGTCAATATGTTTGTTTCAAGTTGATCAAGTGTTAACTTCTGTTGTGTTAAGATCTTCTCATATAGAATAACTTCCATGCTTTAAAAACTAAATATTTCAGTTTTCATTCGATCTGTGTCATACCTCTGCATTTAAACATATCTTTCACTTAATCTCTATGTTGCAGTTGAGCAGTCCTTTCTCTCTTTTATCAATAATTTGGTCAAACGAAGACTGTGATGCATTGATCCCTTGAAACGTGGTGATCAAGCCAGTCAGTTCTGATTTGCTGACTATGGCTTGAGTATATTTCATATTTGCCCATACATTAGATACCTGGACCTAATTCTGACAGTTAATAAATACAGTCTTTCAGCTTTAAGGGGCAGAGGACATGAATTCTGTTGAAATTGGCTCATTAATATTTATTTATTTTATCTTCAGAGTGACTCATGAACTGTTTCAAATTTTGATAAGCAATTAATGCATCAGTGATTCTAACAGACACAGAAAAGATGATTATGAGCCAACAAATCATGGCTCTCTTCGGCACGCAGCAGTCTCTGCAGTTTTAAAAGTTAATTTCATCACAGTAAGTACTTTTATGAGTTTTAAAGAAGCAGAGGAAAAAAAAAAACTTTGAAAGTTTAGAAGTGTGATATATACATATGCAAATGTCAATATGAGAATCAACAGAGTTTCCTGCTTAGTGATATATGTATTTGTACAGCTCTTAATCTAATTGTGCATGTTTAAATAACTATATGTAAAGGATTTTTTTCTCACATGGATATCTATATTTAAATTGAATGTATATTCATACTTAAAGCTCTGTATGGTGTGGAAAGACCACTAATGTCTATATAACGTGGTTTCCTTTTTACAAAACTCTTTTTTTCCAGTAATTTACAACTTGTTCCCTTTCCTGCTTGGGTCGGCAGAGCAGTGCCACACCGTCTCCAGCTGGATTTTCTCTTTCCCTTTGTTCTTCCCTCGCATTCACACCTTTATTTCCTGCCTCCCACGGCTCTGCTGACTGACAAATAAGTGCAGCACCTGTTCATCATGTCTATACCTGGGCATTATTCTGTGCTGTCCTGCAGCATCTAGTGGAGATGTGTGGGTTGTGCAACTATTCACATATAAATGTTCATATATAGAGATATATATATGTATTGACACATGTTTAACGATAGTTCTGCTCTGTGTTCCTGAAGTCTATATATGTCCATTTATGCACTGTTTATACTCAGTGCATACTGGACCCTGTGCTTTTTAGCTGATGGGGAGTTGGAACACAGTTTTTTTTAGCAGACTACTGTGTGTATGCTCATGCAAATACAGCGTAGCAGAGGTTTAAGAGAGCCGCATCATACATAACGAGAACAGTATTCATTATTAAGATAATCTGAAAAAAAAAATGATGTTATGTAGTGTTAAGCATTGGATAATGGGTAAAAATGCTTATTGCTACAAAGGGCTTTGCAGCTTCGTTGTATGCTCTTCTGTGCTCAGCGTGAGTTGCCACATGCTGGTCTCTGCACTTGTGTATAGCTGGAGAAATCCTCATTGAGGGCAACTGTAGAGGCTAATGAATGCACAAGAGCTTTGTAACACATTTAAGCCTTATTTAAGGAAAAGTAAACAAACAAACAAACTAAAAACCTATGGAAACTTGTTTACAAGTTGTTATAAATTGCTTCATGTTACCTCCATTCTCTTATACCAGCTACTGAATGTCAATATTAAGACAGAAGGACAAAGAGAGATTTTAGGAAGACTTGCAAAGTTTTGGTGTGGATGGAGCCTACCATCCCCAGCACAAGAGTGTGTTTCTGTTCCCTTCGTACCTGGGTTTATGGCATGGCCCCATGCCGTGGAAGGGCAAGTTCTTGGGTCACTTACAGTGTGGAGCTTAAACCAGGCTCACCCTGGGTTGCCCAAGTCCTGCTCTGGCACTGTCCTCAGCTGCGTGTTTCCACCCCTTTCCCTGTGTGCACACCGCTTCTGAAGGTCAAGCTGGTTGAGGGACCTGTCAGCAAGAGAGAGTCTCTCTCAGCCATGGCTTTGTTTTGGTGTGTGAAGATTTGCACAGCAAATGGGTAACGCAGCAGCTGAGAGCTCCGTCAGAGGGGAACAAGCAGAGGACGTGAGAGGAGGTGAAATGGGTCTGAGAGAAGAGAAAAAGTCACAAGGCTTTATAATTACATCTTTCCTCCAAACTTCTCATGAAACTACTGGTCTTGAGTCCCAAAAGAGCAATGGTGTTTGGGATTAATATTGAATAAAAGAGATGAAAAGGAATATTGATTCATTGTTCATTGTGTATTCTGGGCACTGATGATTTGGGGATCCGGAGGAAAATGAAGTATGTGACCATGATATTAAAAGCTATATATGCATATAAAAATGTGGGAATCAGAAACACAACAGAAAAAATTAAAATCACATAGACAAATTCTGGCATTTCCTAATTTTGGCAGTGAGGAATTTGTGCTATAGGTTTGTTAAAATTCTTGTATGTATTTTTGTATGGGATGTAAGCCTACAAAAATTTGGAATGGGATTTTCAAAAGTCTTCACTGTGAGCTAACCCATGTGGACTTTCACCACATGAATTTTCCAAACAGTCGGAGATAATGAAAATGTCAAAATTCTGGAAATTCTCAGGTCATTTCTCTCATGTTAGTCTAATCCTGCAAGAGCATTTAAGTTATATGTCTTCTAAGAAATATGCATAATTATATTGTATGCAATGAGACTTTTTTCCTAGCTCTTTTTGTGATCTGTCATTAATACAAGGAAAAAAGCAACATCTTTCTTGTGTCATAGAATGCTAGCAGGAAGAAGTTAATAGACCATACTTAGAGCTTTATTTCCTTATTCACTTTTTTTGCTTGGAAGAACTAGCTATAAACACTTAAACAGTCAGAACTGCTGTAATACAGTGATACTTTAGATTTAATATTCCCATGAAGAGACATGGGAACATGAGACAAATAAATTTTAATATTAGAAAATGCATATTATAAACTTTGTACATAAACCAGGTCAAGAAAGATCTGAAATTCATCACTTGAAATTAAATTGTAGTTATCACAAAGAGCT